CCTTTTCCTGATGGGACCTTTAATGAAAGTGCCCTTCTTCTACGCACTGATATTCCGTACCATCAGCTATTTGTTCATACTTCGCTGCATTACACAGCAGCCCGTATCCACTTACATAGGTGGTATACACTCTGTTCTTTATATCTCTTTCCTTCTCGGGCATTATCTATTCCGGATGTTGCCTTTCTTGTTTCGTCATTACCGCCACCTATTCTGTTACTTGGTGATTTTAATGCCCACCATTTCCTCTGGGGGGGGTCTCACTGTGATTCCCGTGGAATTCAGTTAGAGGCTTTTCTTGCCACCCACCCCCTCCATGTTTTAAATACAGGTACTCACACCCATTTTGATCCTCGGACTCACACTCTCTCTTGCATCGATCTCTCAGTCTGCTCTTCCTCCGCCGCATTAGACTTCACTTGGTCTGTTCTCCCGGACTTACATTACAGTGATCATTTCCCAATCATTCTTACTTCCCCTTCATATTTCGCCACCTCTTCGCACCCCACGCTGGCAATTTGATCGGGCAAATTGGAACCTTTACTCACACCTAACTGTTTTTAAAGAGGTTCCTTCTTCATCCTCCATCGATGAGCTTTTACACCTCTTCTCGTCCTCCGTTTTCACCGCAGCTTCTCATTCTATACCCCAAACTTCGGGCAGGCATTCTCAGAAATGCGTGCCTTGGTGGTCTCCTGCTTGTGCTCGTGCAGTACGTTTGAAACGCGCTGCATGGGGCAGGTATCGGTACAATAGAACCACAGAGAGACTCCTTGATTTTAAACAGAAGCGTGCGATCGCTCGCCATGTCATCCGTGACGCTAAACGCACTTGCTGGCGAGATTGTTTCCACCATCACCTCTGCTTCCTCTATGAGTGCAGTCTGGAAAAAAGTACGAAAACTGAGTGGTAAATATTCTCCTGACCCGGCTCCTGTTCTGCAGGTTGCCGGTGTTGATATAGCAAACCCACAAGATGTTGCCAATGAAATTGGCAATCATCTGGTCCGTATTTCTCAGGGACTCCATCTATGCCCCTCATTTCTTTCCTCAAAGTCTGCTATAGAGTTAGCACCCTTGGACTTTTCTTCTCTCAGAGAAGAACAGTATAATGTGCCTTTTACACTTCAAGAACTGGAGGCAACACTCTCAGCTTGTCGATCATCGGCAGCTGGGCCCGACGACATTCATATTCGTATGCTACAACATTTACATCAGTCAGCCCTTGCAGTCCTATTACGCCTTTACAATCTTATTTGGTCACAAGGAGTTCTTCCACAGCTGTGGAAATCCGCCATTGTTCTCCCTTTCCGCAAACCAGGCACTACGGGACATGAAACCTCCCACTATCGTCCCATTGCTCTTGCCAGTGCAGTTTGCAAAGTAATGGAACGCCTAGTAAATAGACGTTTAGTGTGGTATTTAGAGACACACAACAGTCTCTCCACTCGTCAATATGGCTTTCGTAAGGGACGTTCTACCATAGACCCCTTACTACGCTTGGATACGTATGTTCGTAATGCCTTTGCGAATAACCACTCAGTTATTGCCATATTTTTTGAGCTTGAGAAGGCATATGACACAACTTGGAGGTATAATATTTTAGCCCAAGCCCACTCCTTAGGCCTTCGAGGCAATCTACCATCCTTCCTTAAGAACTTTTTAACTGACAGGCATTTCCGTGTTTGGGTTAATAATGTGCTCTCCCCGGACTTTATCCAAGCTGAAGGTGTCCCCCAGGGATGTGTTCTGAGCACAACACTTTTTCTCCTTGCTATTAATGATTTGGCCTCTAGTCTTCCATCAAATATTTGGTCATCACTCTATGTTGATGACTTCGCTATTGCCTGTGCAGGCGCTGACTGTCACCTCATTACACTTTCTCTCCAACATGCAGTCGACCGTGTTTCCAGTTGGGCCACCACACGTGGGTTTAAATTTTCCAGCACCAAATTACTTTCACTAGACGCTCTGTCATCTCCGATCATCCTTTTTACCTCTATGGCTCCCGTATCCCTGAACGTGATACAGTCAAGTTTCTGGGCCTCCTCTTTGATCGTAGGTTATCCTGGAAACCTCACATTACCTCTCTGAAGGCAACTTGTCACAGCCGGCTGAACCTTCTTAAAACCCTTGCTCATCTTTCATGGGGGGCTGATCGTTGAACCCTCCTTCGCCTACATTCCACCCTTATTTTATCGAAACTTGATTATGGTGACCAGATCTATTCAGCGGCATCTCCTGCTACTCTCTCTAGCCTTAACCCCATTCATCACCAAGGATTACGTTTATGCCTTGGTGCTTTTCGCTCTTCCCCTTTCGAGAGCCTCTATGCAGAAGCGAACGTTCCATCCTTATCCGATCGCCGTGATGCCCATTGCCTGCGCTACTATGTACGCTCTCATGATCTCCGCAATCCTTCCATTTATAGAATGGTCACTGATATTAGTAGACATTCTTTATTTGTTCGCCACCCCTGTTTACTCCGTCCCTTCTCTCTTCGCCTTCATTCTCTCTTGTCTTCTCTTCAACTACCACCTTTCTATGTACATGTAGCATCTCACTTTTCCCTACCCCCCTGGGAAGTTCCAGCTGTTCGAGTCTGTTCTTTCTCCCTCCCTTGCTTGAAAGCCCAACTGTCTACGGTCGCTTCCCGCTCTCTTTTTCTTGACCACTTTCACTCTCATTCTCATGCCATTGCTGTGTACACAGATGGCTCTAAGTCTTCTGACGGAGTAGGATTCGCAGCAGTGTTTCCGGACAGCGTCGTACAAGGGCATTTACTATCTTCGGCTAGTATTTTTACTGCTGAATTATATGCCATCCTTACAGCACTTATCCGTATTGCATCTATGCCTGTGTCATCATTTGTGGTTGTCTCAGACTCCCTTAGTGCTTTACAGGCTATACAAAAATTTGATACACCTCACCCCTTAGTCCTCCGTATCCAACTTTGGCTACGCCGCATCTTTACCAAGCATAAAGATATTGTTTTTTGTTGGGTCCCTGGTCATGTTGACGTACAGGGCAATGAACAGGCAGACACTGCTGCGCGGTCAGCAGTACATGACCTACCAGTTTCTTATAGAGGTATTCCATTTACGGACTATTTTGCTGCAATATCTTCCCACCTTCACACCCGTTGACAACAACGTTGGTCTACTATGCTCGGCAACAAACTTCAATCTATTAAACCGAGTATAGGTTACTGGCCGTCTTCTTATCACCAGTGTCGAGGTTGGGAGACTACTCTCTCCCGTCTTCGCATTGGCCATACTCGTCTTACTCATGGATATCTCATGGAGAGGCGTCTTGCTCCTCTCTGTGAGAATTGCCAAGCTCCATTATCAGTCAGCCACATTCTGTTGGACTGCCCACTTTATCAACGAGCACGCAGAATTTACCTCTGTCGTCGTCTTCGCTCCGCTGCTCTCTCTTTACCTTCCCTTCTCGCTGATGGACCCACCTTTCATCCGGACACTCTCATTGACTTTTTGACAACAACTGACTTACTTCACAAATTCTGATACCTTCAGCCCTTTCTACTTCAATCTCTTGCTACCCTCTACCCCCGTACTATCCCCTGCCCCGCTGTTTTCTGTAACCTGCTGATCATCCCTCCTCCCTTCTGCCATCCAATACCCTCGCTTCCTTCCCTACCCTGCAGCGCTGTATAGCCCTTGTGGCTTAGCGCTTCTTTTTGATTATAATAATAATCCCCTACTTTGAGCTCCATTTCTAGGTTCTTTTTATAGTAAATCAATCAAAATCACCTCTATTTCTATAATTTGTTTTCCATTCTATCAAATGAGACCAAGAAAACGAGAATACAACCATAAATACTATACAAAAATAGACCACAAAGTCGGCATTTTAATTAAAAAAAATGATCGGATTTTTTTTTTCTCATTATGCACTGCGTGCTCCAGGATTTTTTTTATATGGTGCACACTGACCACACAGACCCATTCTCTCACATGTGGGCCTACCAGCTTTCTCCTGCTTGATTTGAAGCCGCTAGAATTTACGAGTATTTATACATCAAACACGGTACCTCGTAAGACATATATATACGGCCGCGACAGTCAAAGGGTTAAATAAAAAAAAAACTATTTTTTTATTTTTTCAAAATATTCAGGGCACTGGGGTAGTGAACGTATATATGCGTTTGGACCGTTTACGGGTTAAATTACATTTCACTTGTAAGACGAAGAATGAGGGGAGACATGATCAAAATGTATAATTGGAAGATGGGTACTAATTTTTTTCTTCCTCAACAAGTCGGCCATCTCCCACTGAGGCAGGGTGACCCAAAAAGAAAGAAAATCCCCAAAAAGAAAATACATTCTTGAAGATGTCCCTCCAAGAGAGAACATGCAATAATGGATTCAAATTAGATAAGTTTAGATTTAGAAAGGATATAGGAAAGTATTGTGTTGGAAATAGGGTAGTTGATGAGTGGAAGTCTATGTAGTAGGGTGGTTGAAGCTAAAACCTTGGGTAGTTTCAAGTTTAGGTTGGATAAATACATAGTGAAAGGGGTTGTACAGTGGACCCCCGCATAACGATTACCTCCGAATGCGACCAATTATGTTAGTGTATTTATGTAAGTGCGTTTGTACGTGTATGTTTGGGGGTCTGAAATGGACTAATCTACTTCACAATATTCCTTATGGGAATAAATTCGGTCAGTACTGGCACCTGAACATACTTATGGAGTGAAAAAATATCGTTAACCGGGGGTCCACTGTATTTGAGGGTAGCACTGAAAGTGGGTTGGGCAGATATTCTGCTGTTGGGTTGGATTGTAAAGGACCTGCCCAGTATGGGCCAACAGGCCTACTGCAGTGTTCCTCCTTTCTTATGGTAAGTGATAGCCTCTGTTGATGGGATGGATAGCCTCCATTAATGGAGACTGATATGTCTAATTGGATTTCCCTTGTGCAAAAAAATTCATTATCATGCTATTCAGATATCACAATTTTTTAATTTTTTTTTCAGTTGAGGAAAAGTTGGTTGCCAGACCCTCCCAAGAGACGAAAGAGAAAGCCCCGACCCAAGAAGAAACACTCTAGGCGTAGATCAGACTCGGTTCAGTCAGATGATCAGCTTGGTACAAAAAACGCGATACCTGAAGAAAACCATTCGATAGGATCGACGTTGTGTAGTAATAGTGGTAGTAACCAAGATCTTGAAGAATTACCAAGGACGTCTTCAACAGCTTCAACTGTGTCCTTTGAAAGTGACTCTCCTAATGTAAATTGTTTTCTAGGTCAATGTAGTTCTCAAGACTCTGGGATTTCTTTGTCTCAGGATATTTTAATAGATTTCAGTGATGAGTGTCAAATGGGAAAATCCAGATCAAACACAATTGATTTTAAAGTTACAGAAGCCCAGTTATCAGCAAAAGATCTCTCCACAAGTCAAGAGGCTTCTACTTCATCAGGTAAGAGTTCAGCATCTACAACACCATCAAATGCAAGCAGTAGAAAGCGCAAATTATCTCATTCAGAAAATGTTGGATGCCATAAAAGAGCTCGACCCTCAGAGGTCAGTGAGCTGGGTGAAGAGAGTGACAGCAGTTTCAATGTGGACATTAAAGCTAAAGCCAAAGCCTTTGATAAGTTGTTGGAATATGCTCCTGCTAGAGAATGGGTTAGATCTGCAGTTGGAATGCAGTTTCTGTCCTCTTCCAATAAACAGGAGGTTAATTTTGAGGAAATAGTGGCAAATAAGAGTATGTCATCTTCAGCTTTTGAGTCATTAGAGTCCTCAGAAATTTCAAACTTATGTGTAATTTGTTGCTTACGTCCTAGAAATGGTTCTATTGCTCATGGCCGAATTGCCCATGTGGCAACTTGTTATCAGTGTGCCCGACGTCTGCTCAACAGTGGGTCTCGATGCCCTGTATGTCGAAGAAAAATACACATGGTATGTAAAATTATCACGCTGTAGAAATAATAAAATGAACATCTTAATTTGAATATTCTGAATATCACACACGCACTCTTTCACAAACACATGCAAAAGTACATTAGTGGCTATATTTCTTTTGAAAATTGAATTTCGTATACTGTATTTCTTAAATACAGTAAGCTCTTGTAAAGCTCCTCTATATAGAGCAGCTTTTTGTAAACACAGTTGAAAAAGCACATCCAGAATTAACTAGTGTGTGGAGAGGCCTTCATAGTACGTGCTGTTTAATTTTGGATACATGTTTTCAAATGCATTTGCCCAAAAATCACACTATTTAGATGAGCTCTACAGGCATAAACTGTCTTATTCCCAAGTACATTATTGCATTTCAGTATAAATTTTGTAGCTTGTTATACTAAATTATATCCTTGTGGCTATCAGTGAGGTCCATACAACTGATGGGTTTATCCTCTTCATAACTGAGCACAGATATCTTCACTTTGAAAGAATTTTATAACTATGATTTTGAAAGATTTTAGATGAAGCAATACTTAGTTTTATCATCTTGTGTTAATTTCCTCTTCACTTTCTCCTAAATATTTTTTTTTTTTTTTTTTAAAGCATTAGCCATCTCCCACCGAGATAGTGACCTCTAAAAAATGGAAATTCTTAAGTTTACCAGATAGGCGTGCATACTTTTTGTTTTTATCACATTAGCTGTTTGCCACGTGGGCAAATAACTTAATGAAGGTAATATGTTAAAAAAAATTATGATTGCATTTCTAAAACTACAATATTTAGATAAGGAATTGTAAAGCAGACATGTATTCATATACAGCCTCTGCTCACTTAGCGACGTACTCGTTTACCGACAACTCGGACTTACGACGGGCTCTCTGACCAGTGTGCATACCTAAACAATGTATATTATAGCTGATTTCCTGCATTCTGTTTATTACAATATGCAGTACACTACTATATAAACATTTAACAATGTTATAAATGGTGCAAAGTGACATTAAAACAATGTCAAAGATGGTTGACATAAACTCGCTACCATTAAAGTATGCTCCTTGTTTAGCAACAAATTCCTTTACCGACATGGTCTTAGGAACTGAACTCTTGTCATTAAGTGAGGAGAGGCTATATACATTTGTGAGCCTATGGTGTAAACTTCTCTTTATAGCTGGTGCTTATACTTTTGGATATCTGAATATTGAGGTATTGTGCAAAGTAACAAGAGCACTGACACAGCTCAAGTCATTTTATATTGGCTCTTGTATGTTCATTCATATTCTCTCTTGTAAGGTCTGTCACTTCCTTTCTTGTGCCAGAGGATGGAGAGGGAACCCCAAGGTATATACCTACAAAGATACATAGTTACAAATGCCTTACAAGTAGCTTAATTAATGGGGCCACTTGCACTCATTTTCTATAACACTTGATTATGATGTCAGTTTTGTTATCAGACATTACTGACCACATGACAGACCCACTAAAAAATAAATGGAGGCTTAGAAAAATCATTATTTCCTAGAGAGCAACAACATATTTATTGCTATTAGATGTGATTAGTTTCATAGGTTTTAAAGAGCCAGCTTTTTAAAAATATAGGTCTCCAAAAATCTTGCTTAGATTGGAATAAGTTATATGTAAGGTTAATTTATATCAATACAATATGTGAAGATGTCATCATAATGGGTTGGAAATGTATCCTTTTACACGAGGGAAAATAACCACACCCATTGTTCATATACTGTTGTTACTTAGTATATAATAATCAATGTTAATGAATCATACAGCAATGCTATAACATAACAAAGAACAGCAGCCAAAGACAAGTGCGGTTAAGCTTGGATTTGTAATACAGGACATAGAGCTAATATGTGAAAACTTTCTTCCTGACAGTTTTTACATTAACATACATTTTGTTACTATTTATAGAGTAGCTTACATCTGTACAAGGTCATTACTAATTCTGTATAGTGTTACAGTATTTAGTTATTTACACTATATAGTAAATTATAGGAAGTGACCATTCATACCTCATGGTGTTATGTATAAATTTATAATTCAACATGTTATTGATATTTGAACTATAGTGTTGTGCATTTCCTGAGGTTTCATGTAGAAATGTACAGGGGTTAGGAAAATTTTCAAATCAGATTACAAAATTATGATGTTAAGAATGAAGTTATATATTTAATCAAACCCAAAACCATTAATACACCTAGGAAATTTTTCAGGAAAACTGGTTAGTAACTTCTTAAATTAGTGTAAATTAGAGCAACTCTCTTAAAGCTTCACCTTGATAAATGAAGGATGACTTGTAAGAAAGACTTTGGAAAATGCCTGGAATGGGTTGATTTTTTTTGTCATGTAGTAAAACTTAGTCATTTTTGTGGTATTTGATTGTACTCTTATTTATGAGTAAGAGTATAAAGCCATGGGTGAAAAATTTGTTTGGTTATCACTGTGACACTTTCTTTTCATAGTTAGGGAGTCATGTGTAGTACAGTGGAAGCAGTTTCCATACAGGGCTTCAAAAATAGATACAAGAGGACTCGCCTATGTAAATCATTCAGAAGTTAAGAGACAGAGCTGGAGTTCATCCCTTGCTGCTGCAAAAAAAAAAAAAAAATGGGTTATTACAGTGCTGTATTACATAATTTATTTGGCTACTTTTTTGATGATAAGCTTTGAAGTAAAGTTAGGGCATTTTGAAATGATGAATAATTTTGAAAAACCTATGGAAAATTTTTTATGTATGTGAGGAGGGGAGGGGGTATTCATGAGTGCAAATTTTTTCTTCCATTTTCTAGGTCTTGGTCATAAGCTAGTCTTAGTTTACGTCACATAAGATTTATGCAATTATCTTTAATATATTTTTAATTCAAGATACACTAAATTGTTATTTTTTATACCAAAGACTGCAAACAATATATTGATATATATATATACAAACCAACACATGTACATGAAATTCATAACTTAAACTCCCACAATTGTACATATAAAACAGGATTTCGACAAATAGTGAAGTACATTGGGTAGTACAATGCCATCACTTTAAAGGAGGGGTTTGAGATGTTGGCTGTTTCAAGGGACGTCTAATCTGTCATATCATATCTGAGCTTCTCTACAAAGACAGTGATTACATATGAATGATGGTGAAAGTGTTGAATGATGAAAGTTTTTTTTCTTTCTTTCTTTCTTTCTTTTTGGGTTACCCTGCCTCGGTGGGAAATGGCTGACGTGTTAAAAAAAAATATATGTATTAAAACACCTACACACCTACCTACACACACACACACACACACACACACACACACACACACACACACACACACACACACACACACACCTTCCTACACACACACCTACACCTTCCTACACACACACCTACACCTTCCTACACACACACCTACACCTCCTACACACACACCTACCTACACACACACCTACCTACACACACACACACACCTACACACACACACACCTACCTACACACACACACCTACCTACACACACACACACACCACACACACACTACACCACACACACACACCTACCTACACACACACACACCTACCTCACACACACACACTACCTACACACACACACCACACTACACAACACACACACCACACACACACCTACCTACCACACACACCTACACCTACACACACCACACACACACACACACACACCTACACACACACACACTACCACACACACACACACCACACTACACACACACACACACACACACACCTACCTACACACACACACACTACCACACCACCTACCTAAACACTACACACACACACTACCTACAAACACCTACACACACACACACACTACCTACACACACACACCTACACAACACAACACACAACTACACACACACACCTAACCACACACACACAACACACTACCTACACACAACACACACACACACACTACACACACACACACACAACACTACCTACACACACACACACAACACACAACACACACTACCTACACCACACACACACACACCCCAACACTACCTACCACTAACACACACACACACACACACACACTACCCATACAACACACACACACCTACCTACACACACACCTACCTACACACAAAACACCACTACCTACACACACACACACACACACACACCTACACACACACACTACACACACACACCTACACACACACAACTACACACACACACACAACTACACACACACACACTACACACACACCACACCTACACACACACACACCATACACACACACACCTACACACACACACCTACCCCACACACACCTACACCACACACCACACACACCACACACACACACACACCACACACACACACCACACACACCTACCTACACACTAACACACACACCTACACACACACACACCTACACACACACCACTACACACACACCTACCACACACACCTACACACACACACCTACACACACACCTACACACACACCTACACACACACCTACACACACACCTACACACCCCACCTACACACACACCTACACACACACACACACACACACACACACCACACACACCACACACACACAACCACACACACACACACACACACACACACACACACCTACACACACACACACACCTACACACACACACACACTACACACACACACCACACCTACACACACACACACACACCTACACACATACACACACACACCTACACACACACACACCTACACACACACACACCTACACACACACCCTACACACACACACCTACACACACACCTACACACACACCCTACACACACACACTACACACACACCTACACCCCACACACACACACACACACACACACACACACACACACACACACACACACACACACACACACACACACGTACTGCTGTCAACCCTGACCTGAGGGAGGCTCCCCAGTACTGCTGTCAACCCCTGACAACCCTGACCTGAGGGAGGCTCCCCAGTACTGCTGTCAACCCCTGACAACCCTGACTAACTAACACACACACACACACACACACACACACACACACACACACACACACACACACACCTACACACACACCTACACACACACCCTACACACACACACCTACACACACACACCTACACACACACACCTACACACACACACCTACACACACACACCTACACACACACACCTACACACACACACCTACACACACACACCTACACACACACACCTACACACACACACCTACACACACACACCTACCACACACACA